GAGGGGGAGGAACTACCCCGTAGGATTGGATTTAATTGCACTATGTGAAGTATGTGGAAGACGTGTACATGAGATGACGAAATTTTACACGGGCTTATATGTGGTATTTGACCGGTTTAGACACTTAGGTTACTTATTAGCATTTCATTAAAGTTGTTATTAACTTTTCTACATTTCGTTGTCAAGTTATTCTTACATGTTTTAATTGAAGTTGCTATTACATGTACTAGTTTCCATTGTCGAGTTTTTCCTTATATGAGTTTATTAGTGGTTGTTGTTATATGCTATTCTTTCCATTGTTGAAGTTATTCTCGTGCATTTAGTCATAGTTGTTATTTGATGCTATCTCTTTCATTGATAGTTTGTGTAACACATTTGAATTTGAATATGCCATTTCATGGAAGTACCTTTATTATTGAGTTATTGAAGCTGAGTTTGTTGAGAGCTATTAACACGTTGTGGTTGAAATTGTTGGTTATTAAAATACCTTTCCTTGTTGAGCTATTTCTCATTTATTTTGTTGTTATTGAGATTCTTGTACATATTATGTTTGAGCCGTGGGCTATGTATTGTGATGACATTGATATTGTTGATTTTGGTAATATTGTGGCATATGGGCACGTGTGGTGCGAGTTGATTATTATGTTGTGATATTGATACACATGTGGTAGTATAAGGTTGGTTATTGAAATGCATGCCGTGAGATAAGGGGGGATTTATACGCGTGTTGCTAGTAAGGAAATTACTTGAAGCCACACAGTGAGATAAGAGGGCTAAAATGCATGTAGCTATTTCAAAAAAAAATTAAAATAAATGCAAGGCTCATGCGGAGATATAAAAAAAGATTGTGATTGTGACTTGTGAAATGTGAATATGAGGTGTGGTACCTCGGTGTGATTCTTATTGTACATTCTATGTTGGAATGACTTGTTGATTTGAATGGTTATTGCTTTGTTTCCTCACTTCATTCCATTTATAATTTTGATTGTACTTGGTTATTTGTTGTAACTCTGGTGTTGGAACGATTGTGATTTCTTGGGTAAGTCATGCATTCTACGTGATTAACTGTGTTGCTTTAATGTGCCAATATATGCTTCTGTTGTTACTTGGTGAATTGATTGATTGATAACATGCTTTACTATATGTGCCTCTCAAAATAAAACTCGTCATCTCACTCGGTGCTTTACTATATTTAAATTGTTATCATGCTTTGCTTTAAATGGTTCTACATTTAATTCATTAACTTATCCGATGTTTTACTTTATTTAAAAATGTTATTTTGCTTTACCTTAATTGATTTTTAAACTAAACTCAATTCCCCATTTGATACCCTACTTTGTATAAATTGTACTTTATTTGACTTCTAAAATAAATCCATTATCATTTGACGCTTTACTTTATTCAAAATTATTATTTTACCTTATTTTGTTTAAATAAATCGTTCGAACATTTTATTTGGTAATTGACACGGATACAATGTACATGGTAGCACGTGGACTTTGTTGTGCGAAGGTGATTGATAATATGGGCACGAGGTGCCATGTGTGTAAGATTCGGGATTGTGGCTTATGATATGTGATTACGAGGTATGGTGCCTCGGGGTAATTCTTGTTGAAAATCATGCATTCGGAATGATTTGGTTGCTTGAATTGTCACTTGTTTCCTTATTTGATTTCATTCGTACTTTATGTGTTTTCTGATTATGTTACTGTTTTATTACTCGTTTACTTCTTGTTGCCATATGTGTTTTTATTATTCCATTGTTATATTAATAATCTTTCTATTGTTAGGCTTACATTGATGTTTTTTCCATTGATAGCTTTATATTAATATCTTGCACAAGTTTTATGTCTAGTGAGTGTCTCGACTTGCTTCATCATTACTTCACCGAGGTTAGTTTTGATACTTACTAGGTACCGCTGTGGTGTACTCATGCTATACTTCCGAACATTTTTGTGCAGATCCTAGTGATGGTCGTTAGCTAGTTAACGGAGTTTTGCTATGGAGACTTCAAGGTATACCTGCCATTACGCTAGGAGGCCTCGGAGTCATCTTCTGGAGCTTTACTTTGTTACTGTATACTTTCATTCCAAACAGTGATGTATTTGATAATCTTAGTTACTCTTAATAGAGCTTATGACTCTGTACTACTGGTTTTGGGGTTGTATAACAATTGTTCGGTTTTAGCTACATTATTTCATTTATCAGTTTATTGCTTATACAATTAAGGTGGTTAATTATGTAACATCTCATCATGTGTGAGGCTTACCTAGTCTTAGAGACTAGGTGCCATCACGACTACCTAAGGTGGGATTTTGGGGTCGTGATAATAATCCTCTATTTATTGTATTAACAATATGAACCTACTTTGTACCCATCTTATCGGTCTTCTTAGTCAAGAGACTCAGTTGTGTCATCACCAAAGTAATGATATTTTTAGCATTAGTGTTTACTGGATCAAGTGCTACTGAATGAATTATAGGAGTGAATGATGAATCTCGAGTCGGCCAGCCTGAATTCTAAGCCATCTTTTCCAGAAGTTGTCGTGCTTCAGTAAATGATTTGCTAAAAAATGCACCACTTTACTAGCATCGATATTAGCCTTTAAACTATCAGCGAGCCTCATGTAATACCTCTGATCCAACATCTACTCTAGGATACCATGGTGTAGACACTTTACTAGCATCCCCTCGAATCTTTGTCACATCTCCTGTAAAATTTCTATTGGCTTTTGCTTGAATTGCAGGATTTCATCAACCTGATTTGTCGTCTTATTTGGTGAATTTTTTTGTTCAAAACCGCTTCATTCCAAGTAGTAATGGAATCGATGGAGAGTGAATTCAGCCAGACTTGTGCTCTCCCGATTAGAGAGAATGGGAACAATAATCTGATTACTTCCGGTGTCACATTTGGCTACCTTTGTGGGTCTTCAAATTCCTTTCCTAAGAACAGTCCTTTATTTTGCAATAAGTGCAATATATTATTTGTAATTTGAAAGCACTCAGCTTGTATCCGTGGGACTGCAATTGTTGTTGCCAAATTATCAGTTGTGGGCTGAGCCAGCCACATAGAGACTTCCGGCATGAGACGAGCAATACCTGGATTAAGGTTGTTGTTATTGTTTAGATTGTCGCTCATTTCG